ATAAAAATAAAAAGAGAATTAAATTTAGTGAGTGCGCGAGCATGTTTTCGACACCGCCATCTTTGGCGATTTTTCATTTGTTTTTGGCATAGCTAAATGCCCTGAAAATTTACAGATGTGTACTTCACATAATACAAAACCCAGTAAAAAAGTTCCAAAAAATAATAAAATTGTTTAGACCCCGAACTAAAGTGAAAACAAAAAGTAAAAAGTGAAAAAATATATGGGCGAGCATGTTTTGACACCACCATCTTTGGCGATTTTTAATTCTTATTTGGCTTAGCCAAATGACTTGAAAATTTACAGGCATTTACCTCACGTCATAGAGAACTCACAAAAAAAAACTTCAGAAAAAAATAACTATTTTTAGACCCCGAAATCATTTTTGGCGGGGGCCGAACGCCGTCGGGTTCGGACCCCGTACGGGACCCCGAACGCCCGTGCGTACGGAGGTCTGCCCGGGGACCTCCGTACGTACGGGCTGGTGACCCTGCTTCCAACTATAATTTTATTTTATTTTATTTTGGGACAAAAGCACCAATCTATTCGTGGGGAGCAGCAGGTGCTGTGAACCGAGCCCAGGGTCCCATATGAAAATACAATCATTGAATACCGGGGCAGCTTTGGCTGACAGAATCTGAGAGCAAGTGGAAGAATTTAGGAAGCATGAGTAAATTTAGAAAAGCCAACTTTCCATGAGAAGAGCTCAAGGGGGCCAATGAGAAGAACCACTGCACTTCTTATGTGTAACTAGAGCAAGGAGTCCTAAACCAAAACGCTAATCTTATGAGTAATTAAACCACCAGTACTTCCTAAAGCCATGCCCGTTAACGCACGACGATTTTAGGAAACGTACGGGCCACTACAGGAGCGCCCAAATTCATCCAACTATAAACGTTTCTACTCTATTTTTTTCCGCGGCCGATAGCTGGGCCAAGTACTGGTAGAGCCTGCAAACCCAGAGTCGAACTGTCAGATGCTACTGAGCAGCCTAGACCTCAGCCTGCCTTGCCCACCTACCTCGTTGCCAAAACTCAACCAGGCCTCACGCCCCCAACTGCCAGGTTATGAAGCAGCGCGAACCACCTCAGAATGCACCCCCGTCTGCTAGGCTACAGGGTGGAGCAACCCTCCCCGGCTCCGGCCAACGTCATCTTTTTTTTTTGGGGGGGGGGCAACGTCGTCTTAATAACCGCCCACAGATGACATAAAAGGTCAATTTCCAGTTCTATGGGGTGGTGGACCTGATTTCCAGCATGTGAAGCTCCCCGCCAATGGACTGCAGCGGACAAGAAGATCTGCTAGGGGAGAATGCTCATATCACCACCCCTAGGAGGAAAACCGGGTTTTGTTTTGTTAAACCACCAGTACTTGGCCCAGCTATCAAAGCCGAGCCTCCCAGCCCCCTGCACGCCAAGTCCTACCGAACCGCCATCGGTCTTTTCTGTTTTCATTTTGGCTGTGGCCTCCAGCCAATGCGGTCCCGTAGGTCGAAGCCCAAATGCCCCGGCGCGTTACTGGGAAAGGGCCGCAGCCGATAGCTGGGCCAAGTACTGAATTAGCCGCCGCCCAATTAGCTGGGCTTCAAAGGTAATTGAATTGGTTGGGCTTCAAAAGCATTAGCCTTTAAAAAAAGGGGGTAATTTGTGAAGTACCCCCGTAAGGTGAGATATATGCGGAAATGCACATGAAAGATGTGTGTGGAGCGGAATGGCATTTGCCCTTTTGCCCCGAATTCTTTGTGTTATGCCCCTGTCAAGCCAGTGCACAAATTTCCAATCTGGACCTCCCTGTTCGGGCCTGGGCATTTTGTAATTGGACCTCGAAAAAGTTGGCAGTTGGCAAATACCCCGGGCATTTTGCAAAGTTGGGCAGGGGTAAATCCCAAAGATGGGGGATCCAACGGGCGCGAGTGTTATTTGATGAAGGGATAATTTGCAAAATACCCCCATCGATGTATATGCCAAAATGCCCCTGAAAGATGTGGGTAGAGCGGAATTTTCCCTTTCTAGCACTCGTCTCTTTGTCGCTTCGCGAGTGGTGCGGCGAGGTCCCATGACGTGTTTACTAAGCATTCCACGTGCATTTGGATGCCTTCTGGACCAGGTGCATTCGTCGGAACCCAACATTCTGAATGTATCGAGAACATTACGAGGTGCATATACATGTAGAGTGTTGTCTATCGGAGCCAGGCCCTTACAGTTACATGTGGGTTACCATTCAGCCAAATATAGGCCATCGCTGCTCCACACAGCACTCCACATGCATTTGGCCGCTTTCTGGACCAGGTGCATTCCTACGAGTCCAACATTTGCGCCGGGTCGAGAAAGCGTCTAAATGCATCTAGAGTGCTGTGCAGTCCAACGAGGCAATAGGTTGCAACCGTCGCATGTTTTTTCGCGTTCTTCGGGGCCGAGGTCCCACTAGCAAAAGAGGATAGGATCAAGCTCCTGAATCTGGATGTGTTTTATACAGAGGTGCAGAAAAGCAGTTGAGGTCCCACTAGCAAAGAGGATAGGATCAAGCTCCTGAATCTGGATGTGTTTTATGCAGAGGTGCAGAAAAGCAGTTCCATCTCGATTTCCTTCCCCTGTCCACAATCACGTCCACATTCGGGCGTTCGTTCCGATCCTCTTTGCTACATGTAGTGGGACCACGCCGCGGGTAGCGTCGTGATGTCCTACCAAAACGTTTTGGTTGCATAATTTGTGCTGACGTCAGACGCATATCTCGTTGCCTCGTCGCTTCGCTGTTGGACAGACGTTGACGTCGCCTTTGCCGTCGACGACCATCGCCGCTTCTGCCCCCTCCCCTCGTCCTCCGCAATTCTCCGTTTCTCTCTCTCTCTCTCTCTCTCTCTCTCTCTCTCTCTCTCTCTCTCTCTCTCTCTCTCTCTCTCTCAAGTGCAATTTGAATTTGAACATTTGCTTTTGCTTTTGCTTTTGCTTTTTGGTAAACTGCGCGCACTTGGACGTCCATTAAAATTGGAGCGAGACGGAGAATAAAGATGAGCATGGCCCCTGCGCAAGGATGACTTGCATCAAAAAAAAAAAAAAAAAAAAGAAGGCATGCTGCAGTGCTGTCGTCACATCGAGTC